CTGGGAAAAACGTAATTTACAATAATTAACTGAAATTTATATCAAGGTTCATAGGTATAATAGCTGCTCCTTATCCTAAATTGCTGCAGGGAATTCGCTTAGATCACCTCGGTTGCGTGACCCCTCAAAGAGCAACTAAACACATTAAACATTTTCTTTCCACGTAATCCACCAATCCGTCTTTTCGTTATATACAACAGTTCTTGTATTTTATTTTTCGCATTTAAATTTCCACGAGAATCACAACCATAAGGTTTCTAACGACTAGAGGAAAGTGGATTCAGACTAACTTCCGATAAAGCACCTCATTTCCTTTGGGGGCTCTTAATCTTAGTGTAAGGCGACCCAAAACCTCCACATTTATTACCATTAAGAAAAAAGTATGTAGAATGCGTACGCATTGGCCCTGTTATACGTCGATATAAATTTCTATCTCTGGAGTCGCAAAAATTTCATTAAATTTGCCTCAACCCTGATGTGGCATTTAAAGTTGATTTTTATTTTTCATTTTCACGATTGTTTTCATTTGCATTCACAGTTTTTGTTTTTTCCTTATTTTGCCTTATTTTTCAACGTTTCTTTCAATTTTATAATTTTTGTTTATTCAATTTTTCAAAATATTAGTGTTAGATTTTTCAGTTCCTCGGTTTCCCAGTTTTTAAGTTTTTAATTTTTAAATACACAATTAGAATTTTTTCTTAAATTTTTCGATTCTATAATTTCGAGTTTTCTGTTCCTTGATTTAATTTTCGAGTATTAAATTTTTGGCTTCATTCATTTTTCGATTTTAAAATCTTTCGATTTTTCAACCCCTATATATTCTAATTTTTCGTTTTTCCAATTTTTCTATTATTCTACTTTTCTATTTTTCATTTTCTCGTCTTTTAATTTTAAAGTTTTCAGTTTTTCATTTCCTCGATTTTTAATTTTTCAGTTACTCTGTTTTAATTTTTTCAATTTTTCCATTTTTCAATATTTCGATTTTTCAATTTCTCTATTTTTCGGTTTCTTAATTTTTAATTTTTCGGGTTGTCAGTTTCTGGGTTTTAAATTTTTGGATTTTTCACATTTAGGTTTTTGCATGTTTCGATTTTTCAATTTTTCATTTCTTCGGTTTCTAGATAATTTAATTTTTCGTTTTTTCAATTCACTTTTTGGATATTTTCCTTTCTCGATGTTTGATTTTTCGTCCTTCGAATATGTTGATTTGTCAAATTTCTGGTTATTCGATTTTTCATGTTTGAATTTTTCTTTATTTTTGAATATTTTAATTTTTCGTTTTTCCGATTTTTGCTCTCCCAATTTTTTTCCGAATTTAAATTTTTCGACTCTTCAAATTTAAAATTTTTAATTTTTGTAATATTTTAGACTTTTGCAATTTATGATTTTCTGCTTTTTCGTTTTTTTAATTACTAGTTTCATATTCTATTTTTTGTTTTTACTATTTTTCGTAGTGTTTGATTTTAAATTTTTTAATTTTTCATTTCTTAAATTTTTCAATTAGTTTCTCATTTTCAACTTTTCGATTTTCCAATTTTTCGATTAGCAATTTTTCAAATGTTCGATATTGAATGTTTCAGTTTTCAGATGTTTCTCCTTTTGAATTTTTCGATTTTTTGATTATTTAAATTTTTTCTTTTTCAATTACCATTTTAAATTTTTCAAATTTTGAAATTCTCAACTTTTCGATTTCTCAATTTCTTCGATTTTTTTGGTTTCTTAATTTTTAATTTTCAGGTTTTCAGTTTGTCGCTTTAAAATGTTTCGATTTTTCAACTTTCGGGTTTTGAATGTTTCGATTTTTCAATTTTTCATGTCTTGAATTTGTAGATATTTAAAGTTTTTATTTCTTCAGTTTCTCGAATTTTTGGTTCTTCAATTTTGTAGCTTTCGATTTTTCAATTTTCCGTTTCTTCAGTTTTTGAATTTATTCGGAACTTGACTTTTAATTTTTCGTTTTTCCAATTTTTCGAATTTTCTGTCTATCAATTTTGAAACTTTAAAATTTTTCAATTACCCACGTTTTCCAATTTTTGGAGTTTTTCGTTTTTCAATTTTTGAATTTTCTTTTTCAAAATTTTTATTATTCAGGTATTCGATATTTCAAAAAAAAATCAATTTTTGGTTTCGTCAGTTTTTAGGTTTTTAACAATTTTTGAATATTTACAATTTTGGGGCTTTAGAATTTTCATTTTCCCAATATTTCTACTTTTCTCGTTTTTCAAATAGCAAATTTCCGAGTGTTTAATTTAATTTTTACATTTCTTTGACAGCAATCTTTCGCTTTTCGAATTTCTCGATTTCAAATATTTTTCGACTTTTTAAAAGTTCTTTTTTCAATTTTTCGATTTTTCAATTTCAATTTTTCAGTTTCACTGTTTTGAGTTTTTCAATTTTTCCATTTTTCAATTTTTCGATTTTTAACTTTACGATTTTGAATTTTTCAATTTTTCAATTTTTCATTTCTTCAATTTCTAGATATTATAATTTTTTGTTTCTCCAATTTTTCCAATTTTCGGTTCTTCAATTTTGAATCTTTCGGTTTTTCAATTTTCTGTTTTTTTAATTTTCGGATTTATTCCGAACTTGATTTTCAATTTTTCGAATTTTCAGTTTATCAATTTTGAATCTTAAAGTTTTTCGTTTTTCAATTTTTGATTTTTCTTTTTTAAAAATTTTTCATTATTCAGGATTTCCATATAAAAAAAAGGTTTTGGTTTCTTCAATTTCTGGGGTTTTCAACTTTTGAATAAAAAAAAAAATTTTTCAGTTTTCCCCGTTTTATCAATTGTTGGATCTTTTTGTTTTTTAGTTTTTCTATTTTCAAAATTTTTGGTTATACAGATTTTAAATATTAAAAAAAATCCAATTTTTGGATTTTTTGATTTCTGAATATTTTAATTTTTCGGTTTTTCCAATTTCTCGATTTTTCGCTTTTTCGTTTGCAATTTTTCTAACTTTCAACTTTGAAATTATAATTTTTTTTATTTTAGTTGTAAACTTTGAATTATCCAATGTTTCTTGGTATTTGTTTGCAATTTTTTATTTCTTCGGTTTTTAGATTTTCATTTTTTGGTTTTTCATTTCTTTAATTTCTAAACACATTATAATTTTTCGTTTTCCAAATTTTTCTATTCTTCTACTTTTCATTTTCTTGTTTTTCCATCTGCAATTTTCCGAGTGTTTAATTAAGTTTTCACTTTTTAAATTTTTCGAGTGCAATTTTTCGATTATTTAATGTTTCGTTTTTTCGGTCAATTATAGAGTTTCTTATTTTTAATTTTTCGCTTTTCCAATTTTTCGTTTGCTATTTTTAAATTTTACAATTGTTTGAGCTTCAAATCCCACATTTTTCCGAATTTTCTGGTATTTTTATTTTTCATTTTCTCGCTTTTTCGATTTTTAAATTTTCCATTTTACAGTTTTTCGTTTTTCCACTTGTTCTATTTTTGTGTTTCCCGATTTTTCAGTGACTCGATTTTTAATTTTTAGATTTTTCAGTTTTAGGTTTTTCAATTTTTCAATTACAGAGTTTCTTATTTTAGATTTTTCACTTCTCCTTTTTCGATTTTGTAAATTTTCTGTTTCAATTTTTCGATTTTTAATTTCCACTTTTCAATTTTTCGATTTTCAAGTTTTTCAATTTTTAATTTCCGTGTTTTCGGTTTCTCGGTTTAAAATTTTTCGATTTCTTTCTCAACTTGATGGTTTTGAATTTTTTCGATTTTTCAATTCTTCATTTCTTCAAATTCTACATATTTAATTTTTTTGTTTGTCCAATTTTTCCAATTTTCGGTTCTTTTTTTCAGTTTCTAAAGTTTTTCGTTTTTCAATATTTGATTTTTCTGTTTTCGAAATTTTTTATTACTCAGGTTTTCCATACTTCAAAAAAATTCAAGTTTTGGTTTCTTCAATTTCTGGGATTTTCAATTTTTGAATATGTTAATTTTTCGTTTTTGCAATTTCTCAGTTTTCTTCGTTTTTTCATTTTCTAGATTTTTAGTTTTTTGCTTTTTCAGTGTCTCGAGTCGTAATTTCTCGAATGCTCAATTTTAAATTTCTTATTTTTAGTTTTTCCATTTTTTTTTATTTTTCTACTTTACATTTACTCGTTTTTCGATTTGCAATAAGTTTTCAATTCTTAAATTGTTTATTTTTTTTTGATTTCATGTATGTATTCGGTTTTTCGATTGCAATTTTTCTCTTTTTTCAATTTTTCGATTTGAAATGTTTAAATTTTTGAATATTTAAATTTTTCTATTTTTACAAATTTTCCATTTTTCAACTTTTCAATTTTTCAATTTCTCGATTATTCAGTTTCTCAATTTTTAATTTTCGGGTTTTATTTTCTCGGTTTTAAAATTTTCGATTTTCCAACTGGATTTTTAAATGTTTCGATTTTTCAATTTCCCAATTTTTCATTTTTTGGGTTTATTCTTTCTCGATTTTTAATTTTTCGTTTTTTGAATTTCTTGATTTTTCAATCTTTCGAATTTTCACTTTAATTTTTGAACTTATTATTACTAACAAAAATAAATCTAGGATTCACTAGAGGCATAAATGAGAATCATCATCATCATTATTATTATTAATGAGTTGACTAACTAGTTTACATTATTTTTTTGTTTATAAATATTTTTTCATTTCTGGGTCGTCATATTCTTTATTCCGTAAATTTTTAGATCAGTAGCGTCACCGATACCTTTAATTTTTGAATCATTTATTGTATCAACTTCTTCAGAAATCGGTAGATAAATTTTAATTTTACGTTATTTTTTCTAGCACCATCTAAACCTGTTCCAATCCTCTGCCATGCCCCACCTCCCCCTACTTTCACCATTTCCGCCCGGGAAAGTACCATGCTTCACTTCCGCTCTCATCGCCTCGTTGGAAAACCTCCAGCGACTCCAGTCCGGGTAGATTTTTCCCGCTTTTCCAGGATTCCGCCTAACGAGGAAATTCAACTGACGGAAAAGTGCAGCGATGTGAACAGCTGTCTCATTCTCAGCTCGGTGTCCTTGTCGATGTACAACAAATTTCAATGTTGTTGTGTTTGTAGTACAGCGGTAACGTTGTGGTCGGTCAGACGCTCAACGTTCCCTCAATCTCATGTTGAATCTTCCGATGATGTCCTGGGGTGGTAATTGCTGACTGGTGAGGTCCTGTTGTGATCGGTGATAATGGCAGTGAATGGGATCCCGGCGATAACACTGGTTTTATTGTCCTTGGTGAGCAATCATTAATTTATTTCCTCATAATTTCGCTCGTTTATTAAATAATTTGAATGTCTGGCTGTCGCGCTAAGTGGGAAATGTTTTCTTTAAAGGTTATATTTTTATCAATTCGTGTGTGTGTGATTTATTAATAGAGTGCATGGTTTATCTCTTCGTTCAAACTATAACATTTTTAACAATTTGTAGTTACTAACTTGTTGATGTAGTTTTGGTGTGATCTTCTATGTTTTTAATCTTCTAAATCTAAACAATTTATAATGTAGCTATAACGAAGCATCTTAATTAAAATTCAGTGATTACGCTAGACTGGCAAGAACAAGAGATTAAAGCGCCGCTAGGGTAAAGGTGCCTAAAAATACTCATTTCATTCTAATATCAACAGCCTACTAACTACTGAAATCAGATATCTACTATTTTAAAAAAGACAGACCAGGAAACTACAAGGTCTGACTACTGCACTCACACATACTTAATAGGTGAAAGTTACCAAAAGAATGCACACTTAAAGCGCCGCAATTTCCTCGAAAATGTCACCGAGTATCTCAGGGTTCAAGCCTGGAGCTCAATTTATTCTTAACGTTGATTAATGATATTATAGCTAAAGAAAAATGTTTTAAATTTCGCCGTCAATTTTTAATAACGGGCTGCATAGAAAATGCAGTTCGGGCCTCTTGGGAAATCGCGACAAGCCGCTACCCACGCATTAGCATGAACTATGTTAATTTAAAATTCAATCGCTGGATTGTAGTGACAAGAACGAGGGAATTAAGGCGTCGTTGCACCGTAAATGACAAAAGCAAAACGGCGAGGAATGTGTAATTATTCTGGAGAAGGCTGGGTTTAAATGTTAGATGGAATTAGCGACTGTGTAGACGCACAAAAAATTTCTGGGTGGTGTGTGACTTTACTTGGACGTACAGACACGGAATTATGAACAAATGTACGTTTTACAGAAAAATTTTAATTAATTTTAATATAGCAATATAGAGTATGTGCCATGCTCTGTTATGCCAAAGCGACAAGCATGTGACACTTAAAATTGGTTGGGCAACATGTTATTAAACTTAGCCTCTTTGGTGTCTCACTGACTACACTGTATTTTAATTGTAATTTTCTATTTTGGCCATTTTACGACTTTTCTATTTTTTGAGTTTTGAATTTAAAATTTTTCTTTTTTCCCAGTTCACGATTTGCAATTTTTCAATTTCTCAATTTTTGTATTTTTCAATGTTTTGATTTTCCACTGGTTCGATTTTATAATTTATAATAATTTTGTTTTTTTTTGCTTTTTCATTTTTTAATTTTTCATTTTCTCGATTTTTCAACTTTTCAATTTTATAAATTTTTGACTTTTCAATTTTTCGGTATACCATTTCCAGATTTGTGTAAGTTTTCAATATTACAAATTTTTCGATTTTTGAAGTTCCCATTTTTTTTTTGTTTTTGTAGATATTTTGATTTTTCTATTTTTAAGTTTGTTGATATTTAAATTTTTGATTTTTCATCATCCAGTTTATCAATTTATAATTTTTCAATTTTTAAATTTATCGGTTTATCGATTTTTCGATTTTTCTATTTTTCGACTATTACCAATTCTTCAACTCTTCGACTTCTTGATTTTTCGTTTTATTGATTTTGAAATTTTTAATTTTTCATTTCTGCAATTTATCTGCAATCGTCGATTCATCAATTAATCGATTCAATTCATCGGTTTATCGGTTCGACGATTTATCAATTTTTCGATTTTCGATTTTTCGATTTTTGGATTTTTTGATCCCTCGATTCTATTGATTTATCAATTGACCGATTTATTGATTTTCAATTTATCAATTCTTCGACTCTTCAACTCTTCGACTTCCTGATTTTTCGTTTGTAGATTTTTAAATTTTTTATTTTTCAATTTTTTTAGTTTTGCAATTTACCGATTTATCCATTCATCGATTCATCGATTTATCGGTTTTGAAAAAAAATTTGATGTTTATCAGTTTGTCGGTTTATCGATTTATCGTTTTATGGCTAATCGTTTTTCAATTTATCAACATTCGTCGATTCATCAATTAATCAATTCATCAATTTATCGGTCTATCGCTTTAACGATTTATCGATTTTTCGATTTTCAATTTTTCGATTCTTGGATTTTTTGATCCTTCGATTTTTCTATTTTTCGATTTTTCAATTTGTCGATTTATAATTTTATCGATTTATCAACCTATTTATTGATTTTCAATTTATCAATTCTTCGACTCTTCAACTCTTCGACTTTTTCATTTTTCGTTTATCGATACTTAAATTTCTTATTTTTCAATTTTTTACTTCTGCAATTTATCGATTTATCGATTTATCCATTCATCGATTCATCGATTTATCGGTTTTGAAAAAAAAATTGATGTTTATCAGTTTGTCGGTTTATGGATTTATCGTTTTATCGCTAATCGATTTTCAATTTATCAACATTCGTCGATTCATCATTTAATCAATTCATCAATTCATCGATTTATCGGTTTATCGGTTTAACGGTTTATCGATTTTTCGATTTTCGATTTTTTGATTCTTAGATTTTTTGATCCGTCGATTTTTCTATTTTCCGATTTTTTATTTTATCGATCTCTAATTTTATCGATTTATCAACCTATTTATTGATTTTCAATTTATCAATTCTTCGACTCTTCAACTCTTCGACTTTTTCATTTTTCGTTTGTCGATACTTAAATTTCTTATTTTTCAATTTTTTACTTCTGCAATTTATCGATTTATGAATTTATCCATTCATGAATTCATCGATTTATCAATTTTGATAAAAAACTGATGTTTATTAATTTATCGATTAATCGATTTATCGTTTTATCGGATAATCGATTTTCAATTTATCAATTCATCAATTCATCGGTTTATCGGTTTAACGATTTATCGATTTTTTGATTTTCGATCTTTTGATTCTTGGATTTTTTTATCCTTCGATTTTTTATTTTCCGATTTTTTAATTTATCGATTTATAATTTTATCGATTTATCAATTGACCGATTTATCGATTTTCTATTTATCAATTCTTCAACTCTTCAAATCTTCGACTTTTTCATTTTTCGTTTGTCGATTTTTCAATTTTTTACTTTTGCAAATTTATCGATTTATGAATTTATCCTTTCATGGATTCATCGATTTATCGGTTTTGATAAAAAACTGATGTTTATTAATTTATCGATTGATTGATTTATCGTTTTATCGGATAATCGATTTTCAATTTATCAACATTCGTTGATTCATCAATTCATCGGTTTAACGATTTATCGATTTTTCGATTTTTCGATTTTTCGATTTTTCGATTTTTCGATTCTTGGATTATTTGATCCTTCGATTTTTCTATTTTCCGATTTTTCAATTTATCGATTTATAATTTTATCGATTTATCAATTGACCGATTTATCGATTTTCAATTTATCCATTTTTCAACTCTTCGTTTGTCGATTTTTAAATTCTTTTATTTTTCAATTTTTTGCTTTTGCAATTTATCGATTTATCAATTTATCCATTCGGGGATTCATCGATTTATCTATTTCGATAAAAAATTAATGTTCTTAGATTTTTTGATCCTTCGATTTTTTTATTTTCCGATTTTTCAATTTATCGATTTTATAATTTTATCGATTTATCAATTGACCGATTTATCGATTTTCAATTTATCAATTTTTCAACTCTTCGTTTGTCGATTTTTAAATTTTTTTATTTTTCAATTTTTTGCTTTTGCAATTTATCGATTTATAAATGTATCCATTCGGGGATTCTTCGATTTATCAATTTCGATAAAAAACTAATGTTCTTAGATTTTTTGATGCTTCGATTTTTTTATTTTCCGAGTTTTCAATTTATCGATTTATAATTTTATCTTTTATCAATTGACCGATTTATCGATTTTCAATTTATCAGTTCTTCAACTCTTCAACCCTTCGACTTTTTGATTTTTCGTTTGTCGATTTTTAAGTTTTTTATTTGTGCAATTTATCGATTTATCGATTTATCCATTCATCGATTCATCGATTTATCGGTTTTGAAAAAAAAACTGATGTTTATTAGTTTATCGGTTTATCGATTTATCGTTCTATCGCTAATCGATTTTCAATTTATCAACATTCGTCGATTCATCAATTAATCTATTCATCATTTCATCGATTTATCGGTTTAACGATTTATCGATTTTTCGATTCTTGGATTTTTTGATCCTTCGATTTTTCTATTTTTCGATTTTTCAGCTTGTCGATTTATAATTTTATCGATTTATAGATCTTCATTTTATCAACTTTTCGACTCTTCGACTTTTTGATTTTTTGCTTTATCGATTTTTGAATGTAAATTTTTCAATGTTTCATTTTTGCAATTTATCGATTTATCCGTTCATCGATTCATCGATTCATCGGTTTATCAATTTATCGGTTGATTAATTTATCGTTTTATCGATTTTCAGTTTATCAACTTTTTGATTTTTCATTTCTCCAGTTTATCGATTTATCGATTTATCCATCCATCGATTCATCGATTTATCGATTTACCAGTTTATTAATTTATCGATTAATCTATTTGCCATTTTTCAACATTCATCGATTTATCGATTAAGCGATTCATCATTTATAGATCAATCAATTCATCAATTCATCGGTTTATCGAATTTCGATTCTTCGATTTTTTCATTTTTCCATTATTCGATTTATGGTTTTATCGATTTTTGGATGTATGGTTTTATCGATTTATCAATTGACCGATTTATCGATTTTCAATTCAACATCTTTTCGACTCTTCAACTCTTCCACTTTTTGATTTTTCGCTTTATCGATTTTTGAATTTAAATTTTTCAATTCTTCATTTTTGCAATTTATCAATTTGTCGATTTATCCATTCATCTATTGATCTATTTATCCATTCATCGATTCATCGATTTATCGGTTGATTAATTTATCGATTTATCGTTTTATCGATTTTCAGTTCATCAATTTTTCGACTCTTCA